TTCGCAGCAAACTGTAGCAGAAAATCTCCGCCTGCATGTTTACAGCTGTACAAAATCTATTTTCCTCTTCACTTCCTCCCCCAAACACAAGCTGTGTTTCTAATGTACACGGATGCCTTCGTCTCGTTCAGGTGCATCGGTTCTGTCACGCCACACTAAACATTAATGCAGCAGAGATTAGGTTTTTGGTCAGGAGTCGACAGAAGTCTGCGCGTCTCAGATTTATGTTGATTTTCCTTCTTATTGAACAGAATCATCCTGGAGTCCAAGCTGCACACGTCCAGCTCTTCTCTGCTCCGTTGTTGTTCTTTTAGGAAAAGCAGGACACTCGTTCTCGCTGCGGGCTCTTTTGCTTTTAACATTAATGCACGCTGACTTCCACCGTACTAACCACAAGTCTGGATGTATATATTTTTAAACATGCGATGTGTAATTACTGGAAACGCTTCTATTTAATGCATAAAATCGGAACTCTAAGAGATAATCGAGCKTCTTGAAAGTGTCTTGATTTTGTTTTTCTCTGGCCCAAATGTTCTCTGTACAAAACAAACTGCTTTAATGGACAACCTGACACGTTTCAAGGCTTCAACAGTTTGTTGAAACATTTTACCAAAAGAAAGAGGAAAAGAAATATTCAAAAGAAAAATAGCTTTTTGTTCTATACAAACACACTCAGACAGCTGCAGCGTCTGAATAAAGGGCTCCGAGCTTTCTTACAAAGACCATCAGAGTGGATGACTTTTTGGGCGTCCTCATAACCCGGAGGTTTTAAGGCACTGACCATGTGTAATCGCAGCGTTTGTTGGCCTGAGCCGATGTGTAGACCTTTGCTTTGTGTCCGCCTTCCGTTTCTTTGCAGTGGCTTTCAAACGCTTCAGAAAAGACAAAAAGCACAAATATTTATGATGCGAAACACACAGTTGACACTAGAAGGAACTCCAGCAGAAATGTGTTTTAGAAACGGTACAAGTTAAAGTAAATCATTCTTAGCCTCATATTAAAAAAGAAGGTTCACAAACATCTGTACACAGAAAAAGTGAAAACTCTGATTGGTTGTTGGTAAAGACAGAAAAACATTGTCGCCCAGATGGTAAGAGTAGCAGTGGGGTGGAGTTTTGTCAATCATGATCTTTTTAAAACTTAAGTTCACCGTCAATATAAGTGCTGCAAAAAAGTGGCTTTTAAAATACATTGCTTTAGTTTTGCTCAATTTGAGTAGAAGATTTGATATTTTTACACTAGAAGGACAAAAATCGAACTGGACCACGGTTCTCTTCTTCAAATAAAAGACAACTGTGTCACCAGCAAACTCTCTGTTTGGAAAGAGACTTTTGCAAGATACACTGCAAAAAATGTCCACCTAACCAAGTTTTAAAATCTTATATCCAGCCAAAAAGTCTTTTTGATCTTGTTTTGAGACTGATTTACTAAACAAGAACTGATTGTGTAAGAATAATCATCTTGTTTTCAGAATGTGTAAGATTGTTTGTCTTGTTAGTCTGAAAATTTGACTCAAATTAGGTCAATTTTTTCTGACAATGTAGTAAAAAATTTTTACTTGGTAAGATTCTTGAAAAACTTGATTTGACTCAATTTTTTTCTTATTTCAAGAATCTTACCAAGTAAAAATTTTTTACTACATTGTCAGAAAAAATTGACCTAATTTGAGTCAAATTTTCAGACTAACAAGACAAACAATCTTACACATTCTGAAAACAAGATAATTATTCTTACACAATCAGTTCTTGTTTAGTAAATCAGTCTCAAAACAAGATCAAAAAGACTTTTTGGCTGGATATAAG